AAAGATCAAGAAACATATGTCTAGGTAAGATTTATCTGAGAACAACTGGTCTTTGCCTAAGATTTATCTACATGACACACAGTAAATAAAAAAAAAAGAATGGTGAAACTAACCTTCTTGGGTGTTTAAGAGACATACTTTGAGGTCTATAATAATTTGGTCAGAGGGACATAGAGGACACTTTTTGCTCCTTGCCCTCCTAGGTCAACTAGTTCCAGGGGACTATGAGCATCTCTCAAAATGTCCTGTAATTGAGGTGGGTCATCTGTCCTCTTGATCAAGGAGGCCGAGGAGACCCCACCAGATGGGCTTGAACCAGTGTCCAGTCTAGAAAGAGGAGGGTCAACACAGAGGAATCATTTCCTCCATGCTTCCAAGCAAAGACAACCATGGTCGAGTAGGGCCTTTGACTTATCTTCACATAGGGGGAACTGGTAAAAGAAAGGGCCAGGGGCTCCTCCCAAGCCCATGCGACCCCTGAGGAACAGATCCTTAAATGACCTTAAGAGTAAAAATAAATCGGTTTATCTGGACCAACTGTGTGGCTTTAAACACCCAAAAGGAAAGTATAACCAAAGATTAAAGGGGCCAATATAATTTCATAAGAGATCATATGTATAGCTAAAGGCTACGTAGCAATCAAAAATGCCAGACAGGCGATACCTTCTTTTGAGTGTTTGGCCAGGGTGGCCAAAGGGACTCCCAGATAGTAACCCAGCATAGAACTGGGAAAATGAACAGCAGACCCCAATCTTATCCAAAGGAATATAGACAACTGATTACTGCTAGATGAAGAACAGCTGACCCTCCTAAAACAAAGACCTCTAGATAGACTGACTAGATTCACCAGAAGGACAACTAGTGGGGAATGGCTGGGGGTGCCGACAACATAGCAGACAGTAGCAGGGATATCAAAGTATAAGGGCTCTAGTGGGGGGAGGGAGGCTATGGGAGGGTGCTACCTGGGGAGTGGGCCTATAAAAAAAATTCTTCAAAGCATAAAAATTTGCTCCCTAATAACTAGTAGATGTGAAAAACATTACCATTGAAATCTACCTGATGACT